AATGGACCACTTGCAGGGTTATTCACAGAGCTGCTGAAGGCAGCCGTGTGAATAACCAACCCAGAAGCGTTTGGCTATTAACTTCAGGCTTGTACAGCTTATTTCAGCCGTACATCGGCTTAAAGGAGAACTATGGGGTCAGGGCTTTTCCCCGTAGTTCTCCTAAGGGTAACGGGAGGACACAAACTAGCGTCCTCCCGTCACCCAAAGCTCAGTATACCGTGAGCTACAGCTCACCGCAGCTGAGACACCGCAGCTGAAACGGATCCCGACAATTATGTCTGGATCCACCCAGCTGCGTGAGTGACAGCTGGCTCTGCCTATCTAGAGGCAGAGCCAGCTGTACCTGCCCCCTACCCCGTCCGTTTCCGCCAGTCAGCGCTGGAGGATCTGACAGGGGAGGGGGGAATCCACTCCCTCCCCTGTCACGGCTCTCTGCAGGGCCAGGATCGAGAAGTGAGCGAGCGCCGGTATGTGCTTGCTCACCTCATAGTTCTCCTTTAAATCAGCCGTACATCGGCTTGCTTCAGGTTGTCCAAACATGCTCTGCATGTTCGGCCGCCCCGAAGTGCAGAAGGATTTCCACTCAGCCGATCCAACATTTGGATCGGCTGAGCCGATCCTCCGGCAGGCTACTCGCTGCCGTTCGGCACATTCTCATAGGGGCAGAAGGGCAGTGAGTGACTAGCCGAATGCCGCCGAGCGGCATTCGGCTGGGCTATTCTGCTCAGTACCTTCGTACTGAGTGAAGAGTGAAAAAAAGTCGAAAAAAAAAGTAGAAAACGATTGGGCGGAGCTAGCAGTGACAGCTAGCTCCGCCCAACTGTTTCCTATTGTCCGGGACCTGCTGTCATTACAATGAGAGCTCGGTGGAGCCGGCCTTGATATCACGGCCGGTTCCCACCGAGTTCTCATTGTAATGACAGTTCAGCGTCCCCTAGTTACCGGGTAACCAGGGGACGCTGAACTGTCAGTGCAACCGCCCAGCTGTCAGTCATGAGGCTTTCGGCCCGTTTCGCATTTCACCTCGGCTCAGTCGAGCCAAAGCATTTTCCGTTGACTCGACTGAGCCGCTCGGCCGCCTTCGGGAGCTGTACGGGCTATAGTGAATAGCCCGTACAGCAATCCTTCGGTTCCACTGAACCGAAGGGCCCCGACAGCCGAAGGATCAGCCGGAGCTATGGCTGATCCTTCGGCTAGCTTTGTGAATAACTCTCTTGGTCTTTTCCTTTCATCACCCTTTAATGTTTCTATGTAATAGTTATTTGGTAGTTATTTATTCCATAATTTAATCTTCCATCTTTTCCCCTCATTAGAGAGCACACAGCCACACACCAACAAATATCAGATCTAGTATGTACAAAACAAATTATTTTGTACAGATATTTCTATTTCATGTTAAGAATTCACTGAGATCTGAAAATAATTAAGGGCATTATTATTTCCAGGATTACGCCTTTCAACAACTCCGCTGTTGTTTAAATCCCTTCCAAAAAGAGACATACATGGAATTAAGACACAAAATGTATCAAAGTCTAAACAGTGATTTCTTCTACTTCACCATTGAGGCTCTGAAATTAATTTACTAGCATTCTGATATATAACACAGTCACAGTAAGGTACAAAAGATATACGAGTAATACATTGAGTAAAAAAAGGACTCATTTATAAAAACTAGAGAAAAACAACTTCAGATGTGCATCAAAAGCAGCCAGATACTAGATTTTTTACACAAACTGCAATGGAAAAGGAATGTACACAAAAAGGCCTATTTAATTAGGTAGCCACCTATAGCAACCAATAACAAATTTTCCCAAATGACCTGATGGCAGAGATGTGATATGCGCATTGGTTGCTAGAGCATATTTTACTTTGTGCATATGGCTTTAGCTAATAAAGAGTTCTTAAAGTGACACTAAACCTTAAAAATGCATTCAAATACTTTACCTATTAACAAAAATGTATCTTATTTGTGTATCACTCAGCTGTAGAGCCTCAAATCATCTCTGCATTGGTGCTGACACTGTCCTTTCTTCTGGAGGGTGGATACTTTTGTTCTCCATGGTCCCTGTGTGTGTTGTAAAGTAGTCCCAGCTCCAAACTCATTCCTGTAATAGACTACAATCTCAATACAAATTAGTATGAGATTGTAGTCCATCATGGGAGCGAGCTTGGAGCAGTGGCTACTTTATAACACACACAAAAGGTTGAAAAAAAATGGCATTTTCAGTTTCAGTTATCGGTCTCAAAATTTCATTGCGGTGCATCCCTGGTTGCTATCGTTTGTGCCTACTTTAATATTTATTAAAGCTGAACTCCAGCTTAAGATAAAGTTTTGGCCATTTTCATTGTAAAAATAAATGAACACCAATAAAATGTGTGCAATGAGTGGTCACTGCTGCGTTATGTAATACTCTTACTTTCATTACCCCCATACAGTTCAGTCAGCACTAAACGTCTGACGCTGGAACTTACAGTGTGTGCAGTGGCCACTTATTCCAAACAATTCATTAGTGTTCATTTATTTTTATAGTGCAAATGTTCAAAAATAGTTCAAAAATAGTTTTTGGCCAGAGTACAGGTTTAAATAATGTAGTTTGCATCATTGTATTTTTTCCTGTTTTATTTAATAACATAAATTGATTTGAAGAGTCCTATAGAATAAATTAGTACAGATATGCACTGTAAGTGTGAATTCAGTGCAAAAACTCTGAACACAGACAATTGTGTGATCAGAAGGGGTTCTAAAAACAAGGCTGAACATGTTTCAGTGACTCATATTTTCAGGAATTAAAGTCATCTGCATACTCATTTCCTGAGTGTTACAAAAAAAAAACATGTCATTACAGATGATTTGTATGTGTTTTTTTTAGAGACAGAATGCAAAAAATCTAATTGAACAGATAGATCTCATGCACTGTAGACCTGGAAGGTCCAGGCCGTCATAGCCCCCAAATGTCCCTGATTTGGAGGGTCGGTCCCTCTTTTGAAACAATGTCCCTCTGTCCCTCATTGCTCCTCTGTCCTTTTTGGCCTTTTGTATAGATCTCTATAACAAATACACTATTTAACCATGAATAGTGTTTCACTGCACTAAACCTTTCATCCAGCTTCTAACCTATTGCAATTGTTATTTTCAAAAGCAAGCATAAAGGAGTAGTGGTAAAAAAAAATATATATTATTTTCTCCCAATTTGTTTGTGTGCAGTCCATGAAATGGGGTGTGGTAGGTGTGCGTTCTTTGCCTTTATGCTTTTGCTAATAAGTGTCCCTCTTTCTCATCTCAAAAAGGTGGGAGGTATGAGGTCATCACAGATGTACCATAGATGGAAGGAGTTTAAGGAGTTATAGAGATCTTTAAAAAGTCATTAAATGGTTTGATCTTGTACTGCTTCCTTCAATACATTAATTACATCCATTGCCTGTTTCACACTGGTAGCCCTCGACATTTGGGCAGCCATGGTGCCTGACTTGTCAGTAAGCTGACGCAGAGGTCAGTAAGGTGACGCAGAGTGCGGAGCTCAGTAATGTGACGCAGTGCGGAAGTCAGTAATGTGACGCAGTGCGGACGTCAGTATTGTGACGTAGTGCAGAGGTCAGTATTGTGACGCAGTGCGGAGGTCAGTAATGTGACGCAGTGCGGAGGTCAGTAAGGTGACGCAGTGCGGAGGTTACCGGTGTAAGATAGAAAAGGGACTTACAGTGGTGATGTGCTCTGTCCTCATGCCCTCTTCTTCCTCTTCGGGTGGTGGTGGGGGGAGGGGGAAGCATCGATGTCTCCTCCATAAGAAGCCCCAAGCAGCCTTGTTGTACCTCCTCTGCAGGTCCCTTCCCACTCTGTTGAAAATACCCAGGCAGCCAATGACAGTGCTGCACTCTCCCTCCCAGCCAATTGCAGCAGAGGGGGACAGAGGAACATACAGGCTGCCGAGGAGCTTGAACAGCAGAGCAGAGCTGACAGGAGATCGTGGCTGCAGCAGCAGCGGTCACTTTTATGGGGAATCAGGGGTGCGGGCACACAAGGGGAGGCAACGCCTATGATCCCCGCACAGCGGCCGGAACATACAGCTGTCAAGCTGTCAGAGAGTTTATTGTGGTTCAATGTAAAAAAACGGCATAGTACTTGTAGTGTGCCGGGTTTTTACACTGAACCTGTGACATCGTGACAGCTGTATGTCCCGGCTGCTGTGCGGGGATGTATTCCTGGATCCGCCACTGAGCCTGGAGACTACCGCCGTGGCGATCGCTCGCTTCTGTTCTCTCTTCTCCTCCTCCTCGGTCGCTCTGTAGTTTCAGCGCCCGAGCAGGAGAAGAGGGAACAGAAGTGAGCAATCGCCGAGGCGGTAGTGTCCCATCCCTGGGACACTACCGCCGCACCCCCTCGATGACATTCCACTCACCCCCACGCAATTTTGAGGCCTGTATATATATTATATAAAACGTTTTTTGGGCTTTAGTCCTCTTTTGGGTTAAAGGAGTACATGCACTAATGTACTCCAGTGAGCCAAAGTCAGGATCTAGCAGGCTACCGACCACTATTTGCTGACAGTGCAGAGCCGTGTTGCAGCCCGGGAAAGATCCCAACAATATTGTCAGGATCCACCCCACTGCCTGATTAACAGCTGGCTCTGCCTCTCTAGAGCCAAATCCAGCTGTGCCCACCCTCTCCTACCGGTATGTCTATCCCTCCAATGAGCTGAGGAGCTGGAGGAAAAGAGAGGGGAGGAGAATCCCAGTGGGAAGAGGTGATTGACAGTCACCACCCTCTGCAGGGAGAAGACTGTGAGCTGAGCAATCAGCGGTTCATGAATGCTCAGTTGTCGAGCGATAGAACCGGTGTGTGACACATGATCGCTCAAAGCATTGGGAAGAGTACATGTTACTCTCCCAATATTTCAGCTCTAAAATTATCTATTAAAAACATAAACAATAGAAAGTTGGTGACAGAAGACTGATAATCAACCACATTTCATCCTTCACCTGCTCGCCAGGATTTTTACCTGCATATCAGAGTTAGTAAAGCTGCAGGCAGACAAGTAGTTGGTATGCATAGCCACTGACTTCTTTTTGGAAGCCATGTTTTCATTCTTATCAAATGTCAGAGGGTACACGGAACACTTGTTGTCCAGACCCCTGTATGGAACAAACAGAGAGAACACACAACAAAATCAATGGTGAATGATTTTTCTGCAGTCAAGCTTATCCTGTTTTGCTTTGTCACTGATTGTTAAACAGTTTAATTGGGGTTCATGCATACAACATTTGAGCAAAAGGGTGTTAACAGGTTATGTATGTTGCCTGATGCCTGGCACTTCCTTCGCCTCTACATAAATACAGATATATAAATATTGCAAAGGGAGTCATGCTTTATAATAGATAATCCACTAACTTTCCTTAGTATAAGAGTTGAACTATATTTGTCAGCACTCGCATGTCCTTCTTTCATGCGTCTCATAGATATGTATAGGACTATGCTCTGAGACTGGAGACACTAACAGGAGACAAGTATAGCCTAATTTCAAGTCTATAAGGTTATGCTGTGTATTCATGGCCAGAGGAAGTAAACAGCAGCGGTAAGCCTCTATGATGAGATAAGTAGGTGGGGAGAGAGGGGGTTCTAGGTTAGTTTTGGTTAGGAGGAATAGGAAGGGTGGGCTAGTGCACTTTTTACTAATAGTGCACATGTTCTTTAATAGAAAGCAGACTCGTAACAATGATCAACTAAGAGGTGACTACACATCAATATAATAATTTAATTACAATAGCTTGAGCCAGATAGTTTTATTATTTTAATGTGATTCTTGTTTAGGTAAACATAAGGAAAAGAAGAAACTGTTGAAACATATAAATGTATCATACTAGCTCAGGGTCTCCATGTTGGTTTCTAGATGTCTAGGGTCTGAAGTAGCCATGTGTCAGGCTGACACTGTGAACTGTAGTGTCACGTTTTATACAGGAAATTAAAATATGTGAAAAAGATACTTTGAATAGTAGCAGCTATTAAAGACTTACCCACATGCAATGGCACAGCCAGATGGTGCATAGGCACAAGCCATTACCCAGGTGCACGGCATGGTAACTGCATGCTCCTAGAGGGAACCAAAAACCACATCATTAGAGTATGCTCTTAGCAGCAGGAAAAGCATGATCTTTTTTATCTATAGAGAAAAAATGTACTTCCTCTTTTAAAATGTAAATATTCTTTCTAGCTCTTGCAAAATTACTAAATTGTAATGGAAGTTAATAGTTGACAAGTTCTTCCTTCAGACATTATTTACTGAGTACATCCAACATTTTCCCTCGATGCATTCTTTCATATATGATAAAAAATAATCTGTCTACATCAGTTTTTCTCAACCTTTTTACATTAGAGGAACCCCTATAATAATTTTCAAGCCTCAGGGAACCATTCCTAAAACCAGATCGTCAAGGGTCAAATGCCCCCTACATTGGTGATGAGAAGAAAGAATGCAACCCTCACAGTGGCAGTCAGAGTGCCACCTTTACAGACAGTTAAAAATACATGCTGCTGGTTTTGCCAAAAAGCGCTGGCCCTTAAACTAGCTCAAGGAACCCATTGAATATTATTCAAAGGAACCCTGGTTGAGAATGGTTGGTCTAGATGCTCTACATGTAAATTACCTCACTGATTGTTTACAGCAAGTTAGGGTAAAAAAAGGTATAGATAGGTTTACTAGGAGTGGAAGGTGTGAGGAAATGCTCAGGTTAACATGTGTTTAATAACTCTAAGATTACAGATCAATGCATGCATGTGTTCTAAAATGATAGTTTCTTGTTATTTATTTTACCTTTGATAGTCAGCATAAACCTATTAATAAATCCTAATGTCAGCAGAATGTATGGGTTTTGTTGCTCTACTTGTTTGCACAAAGATAATAAAACAATAATGTCACAAAGAAAAGAACCAATGGAATGGCTGTGACAGAGAAAATAAAAACCTAATGTTTTGATCTTTTATGCTTTAGTTGAATGTAGTTTTAGTACTTGGGTTCTTTGAATACAGTACGTCAGTGGGAGTGTTACATGTGATAGATGTTCTTTTTCAGATATTGATGTGGTTAATAGCATAAATACCCATGTATTGTCTAGTGTTTGTATAGGTGTGTACAGGCAATAGAGAGTTGGTGCTGTGATATGGGAAATTCATTGTCATTGGTTAATATGTTATTTGATAGTCTGAAGATGTTGTTATTCGTTCTTGCAGTTTATGTCGCAAATAAAGAGCAAGGTACCTATATTCTTTCATTAGACTTATTTTATGCTACTAAGACAAACTGGTTCAGAATACTATTGCCCCATTGCCTATGACATTTATTTCATTGTATATCAAACAATACAAAAGTGTCAAAATTGCCATTTTATAATGTGTATATTGCCAAGTAAATTAAACTGCACGGACAAATTATACCTACCCGTTTGTTATTGTTATCTTTTGCTCTGAGGTTGTCTGCCTCCATTATTTGCATGAACAAGCATAGTTCATTGATAATACATTGGGTGGTCCATTTTATTTGTTTGTTTAATAAGGACCATTTCCATGAAAATACTGAATTCTGACAAATGTATGCAGTTATAATATGTATTAATAATAATATTTAATATTCAAAATTAATTTTACTTCATATGCCTATATACTTATCTCCTCATATTGACACAGACCAAGCTGTCCAAAACAAGTGCAGGGTTTGGAACAAACTACAGAACTGCGGGGGCACCTTTAAATCGTCACCATCACTTTTGCTGAGCAGCTTGGCCTGGCATAATGTGGAGAAAAATACAAATAAAGGCACGTAAAATAAAAAAGATGAAAGCAATCATATACTGTATTTCATTACCTGTGGTAACTAAGTACAGTCATCACAATACACTATATATTCAGGGCTCAACATTTCCACTCGCCCCCTCGCAATTGGCGAGTGAAAATTGCGAGGGGGTGAGTGAAAATTCATCGGCGGGGGGTTCGCCATGGGCAGGACAGGGGTAAAACTACCGCTATTTCTGCGGCGTTCGCTCTCTCTTCCCTGGCCGGAGTGAAGGGAAGACAGCCAAACTGATTCTTCTCCTCCGCGGCTGCTGCAGCTACAGAGCAGGCGAAGAGGAGAAGAATCAGTATGGCTGTCTTCCCTTCACTCAGGCCACCTGCAGCTTCCTCCGCCCACCTTATCTGCCATAGGCTGGAGGAAGACTGCAGCTGCTATTGGCCGGCTCTACGTTTTTGCAGTGCGGGAAGGGGGGCTTCAGCTGTGAACATGCAAGATACCTCTCTGTACCCCCCCTACCAGCACCACCAGGAAAAGGGCATCTAAATCAGGAGAGGAAGAGGAAAAGGGCAGGAAAGGAAGAGGGCACCTAAATCAGATCAGCTATGTGCACTGTAAGTCACTGTTCTTTCTGCCTTACACCACTGACATCTGTGCGTTACATTACTGACCTCTGTACTGCTGACCTCTGCACTGTGTGTTACATTAGTGACCTCTGTACTGTGCATTACATTACTGACCTCTGTACTGTGTGTCACATTACTGACCTCTGTACTGCTAACCTCTGTACTGCACTGTGCGTTACATTACTGTCCTCTGCACTGTGCATTACATTACTGTCCTCTGAACTGTGCGTTACATTACTGACCTCTGTACAGTGCGTTACATTACTGACCTCTGCTCCGTGCGTTACATTACTGACTTATGTACTTGGCATTACACCACTGACCTCTGCACTCTGTGTTGTTACTGATCTCTGTACTTTGCGTCACACTGCTGAGCTGTCGGAGGTACGGCCGGGGCAGGGTAGGGGTTAGGTGGGGCAACTGGTGGTGAGTAACTCTTAAGGCCTGGCTAGTAGCTCAGGGCCTGAAATTTTGAGCCCTGATATATATATAACGATAGTGGTTCTTTTAGCATGCTGTCATTTTATATAAATGCTTATACGTTTGAATACAGTGGCTGCAGGTTACTAACCTTGTTGGTTGTAAAAGCATCCCAGACAATCACTTTTCCATCCTGCATAATAAAAACACACACAAAAAGGAAAAAAGAATCATTAAAGAATAAAAGCAAATACAAAATCCACAAGTGAATGAGATTACAAAGCATTATATTTACACTGTTAATTTCGTATTATCTGTCTCTCAATAGATCCAAAGTATCTATCCAAAGGCTGTTTGACCGGCTCAATGCTAAATGGCCGGGAAGCCGGCTTCTCAGCCAATCATTACTCGCCACCCGGCTTAATGGTTGCACGGGAAGCCGGATCCATGTTCCCCTACAGCACTGCCAGTCACAGGAAAATGAGAGTTCCGGTATCGGGGAAGATATTAGAGCATTTGGGTGAGTACGAGCCCAAATACTAGGTATCAGCACCAATACTAGTATCGGTATCAGTGCATCCCTAATTTTTATTGCTGTCTGCCTTTCTGTTCCAGTGAGTGACAACTGTATTCACCAATTTACACACAGGCTTCACAAGGACAGGAAAAGAGAAAGGAAAGTATATGCATAACCAGAGAGAAACATTTGGCTAAGGTTAAGAATTAAACAAGAGCTTTAGTCAAGACCAACCTCATGTTACATCCGCTTGGTGGGTCTTTTTTATGTGAGCTTTAGAAGATGTCTATTGAGGTATAAACCTAAAGCACATCTAGTTTCCATACTGACTACTATTATGAATTTAGGTGGCTCTTTTTGAACACACAACATTAATGTCAGACTGTACAAAAGTGCGGTCCTGGATGTACACATCATTTGTGTCACAAGCAAGCCCTTGGAGCCAAATCAAGTTGAAATCTTAAAGGAGAACTATGGGGTTAAGGCTTTTCCCCATAGTTCTCCTTAGGGTAACGGGAGGACACAAACTAGCGTCCTCCCGTCACCCTAGGCTCAGTATACCGCGAGCTGCAGCTCGCGGTATACTGAGACGCCGCAGTATACCGCGAGCTGCTGCTCGCGGTATACTAAAACGCTACAGCTGAAGCGGATCCCGACAATTATGTCTGGATCCGCCCAGCTGCGTGACTGACAGCTGGCTCCGCCTATCTAGAGGCAGAGCCAGCTGTACCCGCCCCCTCCCGCGTCCGTTCGGCCAGTCAGCGCTGGAGGATCGGAGCAGGGGGGGGGGGAATCCAGTCCCTCCCCTGTCACGGCAGAGAGCTGTGACAGGATCGAGAGGTGAGCTAACGCCGGTATGTGTTCGCTCACCTCCCGATCTACTGAGCCAACCTGTGACAGTCTCATTGTCACAGGTCGGCTAGAACTACAGTATGAGGTGAGTGAAAAGCACTCACCTCATAGTTCTCCTTTAAAGAGGAACTTTACCCATAGCTTTGAAATGACAACAAAGACACCTTTAAAAATGCATACCTTATTTTTGGAAGGCATGAGGGGTGGAGACCAAACGTTCACTGGATTGGGGACATAAATATCTTCATTGCATTGGCTCAAAATTATCGATAAATGGCCCTTAAATGTTTAGGCATTAGTGTTATTTCTAGGCCATTATAATTTGATATATGAGCCCTTCAGGACAGAAGCAAGAGTTGCCATATCATGGCAGTTTTCATACCATCCGGGCTAATTAAACTTAGGCAAACAAAAGGGTGTTTTTATACTACATTTTGAAGCAATAAAAGACAATGCTTTTAAGCCTTTTGTTGCACAGCAACTAAACACAGTGAAACAACCACATCTATAATTGCCGACAAACCCACATCTGCGTCACTTTGCTATTTGCTAAGAATGATACATGAATCATGTCAGCCTGTGAGACAAAATCACATTTTGACAAAATTAATCTCAAGTCCACAGCTCTCAGTCACGCCCTTATTACATAAAGCTGAAGTATCTTTACCTGGGATGAGCTCACAATCCTTCGTTTGTCTTTACACCAGTCCATGCAGAGAACTTTATTGCCATGACCCTTCAGTGTCCTCCTCGTTTTCATGACAAACTGGCCGAGGGACTCCACGCGTTCTGCCACTTGGTGTACTATAAACAAAATAATAACAAATTGTATTATTCGTTTGTGACCAGGGCCGGAGTTACTCTTTCTGCTGCCCCAAGGCCAGGTTCCTCAATGTGCCCCCCTCCCCACCATACCCCCTCCCCCCCATGTACAAAACAAGGGGCGGCTTCCCTGTTGTACCATCAGCTCTGCTTGCCCAAAGCAGGGCTAAATGTAGAAAACAACTACCCGCCCGGTGCCCGGAACTGCATGTCCTGGGCATCAGGAGATAGGAATTCCACACCCCTGCTGCCCCTCTACGCCCTGCTGCCCCAAGGCCGGGCCTTGGTTGGCCTTGTGGGAAATAAAGCCCTGTTTGTGACTACAGATAGCTAATCAAACCAGAGCTTTGTGGGCATAGTTCAAATACCGGCTGTTGTGTGTCAGCCATTCAAATAAAATATAGCAAGCAAATCAGAAAAGGGGTGACTTAAAAATTCACACTCAGTACAAGTTCTCTCACTAAAACAGACTTTGACTTGCAGCTCAATATCTAAACTAAGCTGCAAGTCAAATTACATGAATCCCCTGTAAAAGGAGTTTTACTTTGATAAGATAATTTCAGAGTCCTCAGACACTTTAAGGCTTATTCTAACCTAAAGGTATGTTGATACTGCAGTTTTTTTTTTCTTCCTAACACAACAATGGGACTTCTGAGGTGATTATAATGAATGCTGACCCTTCCATTCAAAAATCATTTTAAGGACACAGAAAGGTCCTTAACTTTTTACTTTAGAAAAAAAGTAATGTATAAATCTGCAAGTTTCCTATAATACCGGCAAGGTATTCCCCTGGTTTTCTCGGATACTTCAAGGGGCTTACTTTACTTGTATATAACCACAAGAATTTAAGTGGGTCTGGTATGCCATTGTGCTCAGTTTAACATTGGGTTCCGAGTGCACTGGGATCCCAAGTATCATTACACTACATTGTTCTGGGGGTTTTGAACTCCTAAAAACATATTTTAGTGCAAACTTTTGTGAATACCTGCTTCTTGTGTCAGGCCTATTGACTTTCCTGGTACATCTCACACAGTATAGAATCTGTGACACTGCCACTATTGTGGAACCAGTTGCTATTCGGAGCACCATTTGGAGGCGATGAGTTCCAGACTTGAGTAAACCATACAAGTTATGTGTTTTACTTGTCAGATGAACAGGTTTAAATTTGTGCATTAACAAAACAATGAAGTCAATGTGAAGAATGGCCATAAGATAACAGGTCATGAGTCAGGACTTCTGGAAAGAATGTACTGATTTCACAAGATGTGAAATAACAGGTTATATGTTTATTGTAATACCATTCAGTACTGCCTGAGCCAGCAGACTAGATGAATTTAGGAGTTTCAGAGAAGAAGACCAGACAAGCAAAATAATGTCTTTCTCAGACAATTTATTGTGTTTTATACAAGTGTGCAAAAGCATAAGCAGTGGAGCCAGGGCGGTAGCTACCATGGGGCGGGTGAGGCACTCGCCTTAGGTGCAGCTAAGAGGGGGCACAGCCAGGGCTGGCCTGACTGCATCCCCTCGCCAGTGTTTCCATGGCGAGCACAGGGCACTTGGCAACAGGGGCGCTGCAGCAGGGAGAAGAGGAGCGGCACAGGCTCCAGCTTCTCCTCGGATCCTCCCTGCTGTCCCTGTATGGAAGGCACTGCCTGTAAGCTCGTAAGCTCAACGCGTTTCGCGCCAATGGGGCGCTTCTTCTTATAAGCCCGCACGGGACCGCTGATGTCTTCAGTGCAGGGCTGGCAACGGCCCTACGAACATCAGCGGTGTTAGGTGGAGGATCTTCCCCCTCAGCTGCCCTGGACCCTATATCTCCTCATGTGGACACTCCTCCATCTTCTTTTTATGGGGTCCAGGCCCGCTTTGGCTGTGATCATTCCATCCTCCTCCGCCCTGGGCTCAAAAGCCCTTGGCCCACTATATGCCATTGCTAAGCACTTGCTGACCTCACACTGAAGGGACTACCTCTCCCCGCTCCTGAAGAAGCGCCCCATTGGCGCGAAACGCGTTGCACTTACGAGCTTACAGGCAGTGCCTTCTTAGCATTGCAAGCAACATATCACCCCCATCAGCTTCGCCCTTTTCCACTTGAGATACAATCCAATAATACCTGTCTCATATTGAGTTGCCTTGTTATAGTATGTTATTATGATGCTATTTCCTCACATGTATGAGATGATCATTTAGGCAAAAATCTCAATTGTGGTGTATAGGGGGTGATAGGAGGTATATCTTTTCCCCTGAGGTATATGCCTCTTATTTTTATCCTTTCATGCATATTTAATGCTTTTATTATATATTGTTCAATACATTTATACTTTTTATACTTCTATGAGACTGATGTTTATTGGACTTGTTCTTTCTGGAGCCACCAAAAAACCCAATTTTTTTCTATCCCTCTTCTTTTTTTGAACCTTGAGTTTCAGTGAGGAAAAATATGCGCGAAAAAACGCCTAGTTGTGAACGGGGCCTCAGATAGCCATTCACAGATAAGTAATTTGACATGTACCTGTCACCTATTAGTTTTCTTTGGTTCATTCTAATGTGAGGTCACTAGGGAATGCTACATTCTCTTTCTAGATATACTTTATATACTGTATATATATGCTCCTGGCCACAAGATGGCTTCACACATACGTAATGTTAATGTAATGAGCAGCTGTACATTATATATACACACATATAAACACAAAAAACATACTGTAGATGTGCCATTAGCAAATATGGTTGATTACAATTAGCAAATATGGTTATATATACTCTGGTTTTTAACAGTTGCCATAGATTTTAGGGAGCAGTCAGACACACATGCATGCCCTTGGCATGTCCACTGTGCAGCATGCTCCTAACAGGAACATTTAGCCCATCCAAATATTTTAGTAGGGTGAAGGGAAGGCAGGAGGAGGACAATGAATAGGGATCAGGTATTAATAACTGCCTCATTAATTAATTTTCCCAAGAGCAAGCAGCCAGCAGTCATGCATGGTACCCGCAGTCAGGAGATCTAACTAATAAGAGCAAGATTTGTAGGCAGATGGATGCAGACAGTGAATAGATGTAATTATATGAGGACAGCTATGTGGTATGTTATGATTCATCTGTGTTCACCCTTATCCTCCACATACCAGGATTATCTCATTCACACAGAGCTGTTGTAACATTGGCTCACCCCTCTGTTATATAACTACGTAGTGTTAGCATTAGGGACGTTCTTTAATCCTCTACCAATTTACACAACACACATGCCCAAACACAATGAGACACACAGACCATAGCTGACTTCCTGCAATATCTACCCCCAGTGCTCAGAGAATGTGGGGTTATAGGGCTGGAGCACTACGCTGACTTCACTGCAGGTGGTGCCCAGGACACAGCTGTTCTTGGGTCTATGAAGTCATGGGGCCCATGCATGGCTGCTTCTTTTTATATGATGTTAGCCAACATTGCATTGTGTGCAGCGTCAGCGTCACCCTTTCTGTCACATCCCTTTTTCCATCCTGCTGCAGTCTAACTTTCGCTAAAGGTGAACTCTGGGCAATAAAAAAAAAAACGTACACTCAATGCGGGAATACCCCCACACGGCAAGGGTTAAATATTTGTTTTGTCTAGAGTACTCAGATAAAGCTGTTTTACTTACCTGATCCCAGCTCTTACAGAGGTCAGCGCTCTCTCCCCCTCCGCTACAGCTATGGAGTGTCACTCGGCATCTTCATGTGTAATGCAAGTCAATGGACCTGTATAAGATGTGATGATGTCCACAGGCCTTAGACGTCGGAGCCCAGGGGAGAAGAGGCTGCGGGGACCAGTCTAGCAGCTCGGAAGAAGCCAGGATCAGGTAAGTAAGTCTTCTTTATTCCAGCTACTAGACCAAAACAAGGCCTGAACCCTTGCAGTGTGGCAGTAGCCCCACTGCAAGGGTAGGTTTTTATTCCAAGTACACACAACTGAATACAGTAAAGCTAGCCATACCTCATTTTTTCTCATTCAGCCCCGCAGGTTGGACAAGAGAAATCAGTGGATTTCCCCATCAATGCTGTCAGAATACAATAGCCCCCCTGCCGGCTATTGTATTCTGACAGCAGCAGGTGTGCAGCTGTCAGAATACCCAAACAGTGACTGCAGCTCATTGGCTGAAGTCACTGTTTGAGAATTTTCGGACTAGCTCCTTCATCAAGCCGGGTGTTGCCAGCAGGGGCAAGGATCGAATTTCAGCAGATTCAGAATGAAACTGACAAAATTTGATCAGTACTTGGCCAGCATACTACTGAATAAAAACGTACATAGAACATATTATGAAAGCTATATTATCCGGTCATATCAAATATAGTTACAACAATTAGAATTCTTCCTTTAGACTACAAGTCCTTATATACACTTCAGTCATTTTCGGATACAATGGAGCCCTAGGAAAATACTAGCATACCTACTTTTATATGCAATGTGTGCCAGTAAATATTAAGGAATCTGTCAAAATAAAAATATGGAAACCATGACAATGTCTGGGTCTGCTTATAGGTCCTATGGGCCTGAGAATTGCACTCTAGGACTGGGGCAACGGGTGTGCATATACCTTACTGCCACAAAGTAAGCAACCGATTATAATATTATATTTTTATTAGGGAAGCACCGATACCAAGTACAGTACTCGGTACGACTACAAGTACCGATACTTTTCCAGCTCCAAGACTAGACTAGAGAAAAATGTAAAGTTAGGAGGCAGCTGTCATTTGTAAGGAGCACACGGAGCTCCTGGGATTTGTACATCTCTGTTTTAATGTACGATTTTGTTTTTATAAATATAAATAAAGTGATGCACAGATACCAGTTTTGCGAGTACGAGTACTGGTACTTGCCGAGTACTTACAAGTACAAGAACTGATACATTTTTGTTTATTGTCATGTGACAGTTTTTCTAAAACAATACAGACTAATGATTTCAGGACAGTGGTGGAGTGCCAGAGCCCGGTCCCAGCTGCAACCCCTGCAACCCTGGTAGTTCATAATGAAAATGCCAAGTATCGGCACTGACACTCAAAAAGTATCGGTGCATCCCTAATTTTTATTGTTCTTTAAGAGCTGAAGGAATGGGGGAAAATGTCAGTACTGTTATCTGTAAAAATGTTATCTATAGGAGATGACATTGCCTTAGGATTTATGCAAGTGAGTATATGTCAAGGTAAATAAAAGAAGTCTTTGTCCTCATTAGGGAGATCTAATTATCACTGATGTCACCGGGAATTAAATTGATGGGGAAATCCAAAGCTGTTGCCATCAGAACAAGAATAGAGGAAAAATCATCCAATGGGACACTTGTTCCATTACAACCTCCTCATGTATCACTTTCCCCTCCTTGTTAGATTGTAAGCCCTCAGGGGCAGGGCCCTCCTTACCATCTTGTCTTGAATTGTATTGTGATTGTAACGTCTTCCTTATATTGTAAAGCGCTGCGCAAACTGTTGGCACTAGAAGGGATTACCGTCACATTGGAAAGATATCCCTTCACTTCCTGTTGAGTATGCATGATGGGAAATGAGGGGAAATTTCTAACTCCTAATTGTTAATGAGACAAAAAAAGCACTGACAGCAGTTTTAACCCTCCTCGACTCTATCCAAGGTGAAAGTTTTGGCTTTAGATATAATTTAAATACATTGCTGTGGATGCCACATTCCATGTAAAAGGCTGTATATAATGTGACCTCAAGCTTTGGGCAGACCTCAGGAAATGGCAATTAGGCAATTACAGAAGAAACTAAATGGGGACGCTTGTCTACATACTGAATACTGTTGCCTTGGTTGCTAGGAAGAGACATTTTATTGTTCACAGTTATAGAATTTATAGCTAATTTTTGGTTGAAATAGAAAAGTGATGTCAGATAAAACCAAATTAAAACTGACTTGTGTAGTAATTACATATACAGTAAACGCCCAGTTATCTGGTACCCATGGGGATTGGTAGATGCCGGATAACTGTAGTTTCTGGTTGCTTGAGAGTTACTATTAACTCTCAAGCAACACTCCCTGCCTCATTCAACTGCTGGCTAGATTCTGCTATTGGCTATTTCAAACTGCCATAGCCAATAGCAGGCAGGCTTTTGCACATGCTCACTGCCCATTGTTTACATTCACCTGCCAGCAGGGCAGCCATCAGGAATTTTACACGGCTTTAGGGGCCCCCGCCACCCCCCCCGCAACGCCGCCACACTGAGCCAGTGACATCATTATTATACATGTATATAGTTCTGGCATATAACGTAGTGCTGTACAGAGAACACTGAGCCAGTCACATCAGTCTCTGTACAGAGGAGCTTACACTCTAATGTCCCCCCCACAGTAACATCAGTCTCTGTACAGAGGAACTTACACTCTAATGTCCCCCCCACAGTAACATCAGTCTCTGTACAGAGGACCTTACACTCTAATGTTCCCTCCCCCACAGTCACATCAGTCTCTGTACAGAGGAGCTTGCACTCTAATGCACAATGGCACCAGCTGTAGGGGGGCTACAAATCCCAACACTACATTTATACAACAATCCAGAACAGTATATGAATTTGGCTCAGGGATTAGTGACCCGATGGACGCAGAGATTAGCGGCCCGATGGACACAGGGCTTAGCAACCCCATGGACGCAGGGCTTAGCGACCCCATGGACGCAGGGCTTAGCGACCCCATGGATGCAGGGCTTAGCAACCCCATGGACGCAGGGTTTAGCGACCCCATGGACTCAGGGCTTAGCAACCCGATGGACTCAGGGATTAGAGACCCGCTGGACTCTGGGATTAGTGACCCGCTGGAGGCAGGGCTTAGTGACGCGCTGGACGCAGGGCTTAGTGACGCGCTGGACGCAGGGCTTAGTGACGCGCTGGACACAGGACCCACCTGAGAGTGACCCTGCAGAGCCCACCATAGATGCTGCACAGCCCATCTGAGACTGTCTATGGTGGGCTCTGAAGGGGTCTCAGGTGGGCTGGTCAGGGCTGCATCCCCCTCCCTCCGCGCTCCTCTTACCTGCACACCAGGCCTTCTCTGCCGCCGGACTGGCCGGAAGTGACGTCCGGCCAGTCCGACATCAGACGAGCAGCGTCGCTGATGGGGCCCCAGCTTGTCTCGAAGCCACTGAAGCGGCAATGCTGGGGCCCTGCGCTGCTAGGACCCGGCCACCACCTCGCCCTTCATGGTCGCCCGATACTCATGTAAGGGTCCCGGGCGGGCCCCCAGGCTCCCCGGGCCCCTTACATGAGTATCGGCCGTACCCCCCTCATGATGGCAGCCCTGCCTGCCAGCTGCGGAATCTAGCCGCCGGCCACAGCAAGATGTAAACAGAGAATTTCGTTAGCAACTAAATAAAATTTAGTTGCCAATAAAAAATTTTAGTGTGCAAATGTCAAGCAACTGGCACAACAAATGAGGACATATGTCCATGATTTTTTTTCCTGGTTGCTTGAATGCCGGATAATGGGGAGTTTACTGTATTCGTTTTAACCTAAACTCAACTTTCCTTCAAATATTACACAAATATGAAAACAACAAAAATAATTCCCTCTAAGCAGGAGCAACATACTTGTTACTGGGAATTTTCGATCTTTGAGCACTTCTAGGATTCTGCTTCTGCTGCTCAACCACATTTACATTCCTGCTACTCTGATACACTTGTACATTTTTGCTTGCTGAAACACAATATTATAGCAGTGTCTGTGTGACCATCTACATGTTGTGTAGGGAAGCTCTTCAGTTCTGTTTATTCATCAGTATTAACCCACAGACATCACTATTTAGGCAGCTTTGGAGGAGCGGGGATGTGCCCCATTTTGGGGTTTGCTTACATGTGAACTAAAGGCAATCCCTAAAATTTGATTTCATCAGTAGATAAATGGCAGCATTACTTCCTCCACAGAATGGGCCATGCTGAGGTATGTTTCAAAATGTAACCATTAAACCCATTACAGCTAGTATGATTGTAGACATCATAGTAAATAAATAATTGATTGGCCGGCATTTCCTTTGTTATAAGTATGATTATGGTTTTAATGGTATTAAAATATTAACAATACACATTATGGTTTAAAATAATGATATCCTGACAGAAACGACGTCAGCAGGCATACCTAATCCTAAAGTGACACTAAACTCAGGAGTTAGATCTTAGAACTGCATTCAGGTCCCTTAAAGGAGAACTATGGGTAACCTTTTTTTTTTGCCTATCTAGAGGCAGAGCCAGCTATGCCCACCCCTCCCCTGTCCGTTCCTCCAGTCAGCGCTGGAGGATCGGAGATCGGAGAGGGGGGGGGGGGATCCCTGTGGGGAGCGGTGACTGACAGTGACCAATCTCTGGCGGATCGGAGCGGGGAGGGGGGAATCCAGCCCCTCCCCTGTCATGGCAGAGAGCCGTGACAGGTTCGAGAGGTGAGCGATCTACTGAGCCGACCTGTGACAGTCTCATTGTCACAGGTCGGCTTGAACTATGAGGTGAGTGAAAAGCACTCACCTCATCATTCTCCTTTAATCATAGTGTACAATAAACGGGTTTGATAGATAAGCAGCCAATCCTAGCATTGCTATTGATTATTAGGTAGTGGACCTACCGATGTCGAGATCCGCCCAGCTGCGTGAGTGACAGCTGGCTCTGCCTATCTAGAGGCAGAGCCAGCTGTACCCGCCCCCTCCAGCCCCTCCCCTGTCACAGCAGAGAGCCGTGACAGGATCGAGAGGTGAACGAACGCCGGTATATGTTTGCTCACCTCCCGATCTACTGAGCCGACCTGTGACAGTCTCATTGTCACAGGTCGGCTAGAACTATGAGGTGAGTGAAAAGCACTCACCTCATAGTTCTCCTTTAAAGTGCGGCCAGCAGTCAGTGGTGGGAACAGTGATTTGTAATGGGGCCTTCTATAGCGGTTTCATGCAACATGTTCCCTTTCTCTGTCTCCTATGGCATGAATTCAATCTCCAACCACTCCTGTAGGACAATCTCTGACCATCGCCTCCAGTAGTTCTTCAGTCTCTGACAGTCTTCTGTAGCTTACATATAATAAACATTATATGCAGCCCTTTGGAGTCATCAGGAACTACATTTGAGTCCCCCTTTACTCTAGGCGCCATAGACACACGCCCTAAGGCCCTAAAGAGATTGAGGGATTGAACGACAGGACAAAAAGCGGCATTAGGTTCGACTGAATGCATTTTCATTGGGATAGGGGAAAGATGTAATTGTAGGTCAACAGCTTTAGACTTCAATTACAAAGTCAGTTTCTCCTCCATGTTATTCATACATCAGAAATGTGCTGACATGGCAGAATCTAGCAATGATATTACTTAAGAAATGTGACGACAATGTGACCCTAGATTGTCATGGGATGAATAGAGGGTGTTACGTAAAGCAGTAGAGTCCAGCTGCCTGTGTGTTTACAAGAAGAAGCTCTCCCACCACCCAGCACAGCTCTGGTGACTTCCCAGCTGTGTCACAGTCCAGATGTCACACTGAATACACACTGAATACACACAGGCAGCCTGACAGATTAGCATACGTACATTCAACATCATGCAGCTTGGCTCTCTCTTCCTCCAGCTTCCCCTTCAGACCCTCTGCTTCATTCTTCAGGGAGGCCAAGGTTTCATTCTCTTGCAAGCCTTCGGTTGCCATCTTGAGATAAAAAAGAGAGAGAGGGTTGCAGGAGAGGAGGGAGGTGGAGGGGGTAGCAGTGTATAATGGGGATGGCTGCACTATCAAGGATGCTCTAGCAGCAGCCGCTGCTTGGCTGGAAGCTCAGTCTCTCTTTTTTTTTTTCAACAGGAACAGCTTTATTTGGTTGGGAACAAAAGAGCATTGCATATTTTCAATTGTTTTTTTTTCCCTACTTTCTTGTTGCTTTTAAAATGCAGCAATGTAATATTAGTGCTTTCTGCAATTTTTCTCTGCATAACATTTTTATCTTCTAATGCAAGTATGTAAACAGTGACAATATGAAATAAACAGAAACCTTAGAAATACTCCAATGTTATGTTATCAATTTATTTTAATTGTCATTTGCACTGTGCTAACCCTTCCTGTTGAACTGCAGTGCCTCCTACTTCTATTTAGCTAAACTTTAACCACCTATAGACCGCGGTGTTTACATCCTCTTCAGGGCCAGGCCATTTTTCAGTATTCAGCATTGACCGACATTCAGTACTTTGACCAACATTTATTCAGTCTTGCAACACCATACCAAAATGAATTTTATACCATTTTTTTGGGACAGATAAAGCTTTCTTTTGATGGTATTTAATCACCACTGGGGGTTTTATTTTTTACTTTATAAAAAAAAAAAAAATACCGAAAAATATAATATAATTTAGGGTTGCACAGATACCAAGTACTCGGTACAAGTACGTGTACATGTACCGATACTTTTGAGCTCCAAGACTAGACTAGAGAAAAATTCAAAAATTGGGAGGCAGATGTCATTTGTAAAGAGCACACGGAGCTCCTGGGATTTCTACATCTCTGTTTTAATGTACAATTTTATTTTTATAAATATAAATAAAGGGATGCACAGATACCAGTTTTGCGAGTACGAGTACTGGTACTTGCCGAGTACTTACAAGTACCAGTACTGATACATTTTTGTTTATTGTCATGTGACAGTTTTTCTAAAACAATACAGACTAATGATTTCAGGACAGTGATGGAGCACCAGAGCCAGATCCCAGCTGCAACCTCTGCAACCCTGGTAGTTCTCATGAAAATGCCAAGTATCGGCACTGGTACTCGAAAAGTATCTGTGCATCCCTAATTATTACCCAATCATTTTTTTTTTAAATGTAAAAGATGGGCTTGCGTCGGGTAAATATACACATAACATGTCAAGCCTTAAAATTGCATGTGCCTGCGAAATCACAAAAAAGCTATCATACCCAAAATTGCCCATGCTTTAAAAGCTTTTATTGATCATCAATTTAGTGATTAATGGATCTAGAAATATTGCCACACTCCGACATTCGTGGTAATATGCAACATGTGAGGCACAATCGTCATTTTTATACGTAGGTGCACCCGATGCGTGTTTACATTTGTAACAAACCCAGACATCCCAACTCTCCCGGAGGCTCCGGGAGTCTCCCGCTAATAGATAGCAGCTCCGGCCACCCGGGAGAGAAACATTTCCTCCCGGAAAGGTTTAATCTGCTCAATCGAGCAGAGTAAACCTTTCCCTGCAATCATTTTTTTTTTCTTTTCTGACATCGGGAGCCGCGGCGCGACCGTCAGTCAGAAAAGGCATACAAATGCATAGCTAGATTTCTATTGGCTATTGCACTTTGCAATGCAATTGCTTTCTGTGCTATCTGCCATCATTTCAGGGGGGGGGGGGGGCTTTCTCCCAGCCCCCCCTGAAATGATGGGCACCTCCCTGAAATTGCTTCTTTCAGGTTGGGATCCCTGCAAGCCCCCCGATGTGATAGCACAAATACAGTGACAAATCCTCTTTATGGAGACATCAGGGGTGTATTAGATCCCTAATGTCACCTATAGACCCCAAAGAAGCTGCTGAAGCAGAGATCAACTTCACCAGCTTCTTCTCCAGTTACAACAGCCAGAGAAATGACAGCTGAATGAGGAAGTAAGGTAATACACATCACTTTCAGCTCCAGTGAGCGAAGGGGACATTAGCCACTGGAAGTGTGCTGATCTCCCTCCGATCCAGGCACAGAGACCCGCCGTACTGGTCCCGGCCTGCACGGAGCACAGTGGAGGCCGGTATAGCTGGCAGAGGGGGAGCGCACACTCCCCAGCACCATACAAGCAATGCAATGCTTGGATGCAACCAAGGTGGAACCCCACCCCCAAAATGGGGAGGAAAAAACATGGGGTCCCCCCTAAAATTCCATACCAGACCCTTGATTCGAGCATAGGCCTGGCAGGGCCAAAAGGGGGGGGGGGCGAGCGTGCCCCACCTCTCCCTCCCATACCAGGCCACATGCCCTCGGCACTGGGAGGGTGCTTTTCCAGGGTCGCTCTTGGAAAAGCGCCTTGTCCCCATGCCGATGGGGACAGGGCCTCTTCCCCACAAGCCCTAGGGCGTTGGATGTGTGAGTCTGCAGGCAGGGGGGCTTATTCACATCAGGGTACCCCTTTAATAAAGGGGTACCCAGATGCCGCACCCCCACCCCCTTGTGAATGAGTAAAGAGTACTTGTACCCCTACCCATTCACTAAAGAGTTAAATAAAATTGTAAATACAAAGTCCAGACGTTTGAAAAAATCCTTTATTTGGAAAAAAAACAAAAGACATGTTTTTGACAAGTCTTTTATTTAAAAAAAAAAACAATCCAAAAATTGATCCACTGATGTAATTATTATTATTATACAGGATTTATATAGCGCCAATAGTTTGCACAGCGCTTTACAATATAAGGAAGACATTACAGTCACAATACAATTTAAGACAAGATGGTAAGGAGGGCCCTGCCCGTGAGGGCATCCAGGGTCAATCACGATGTCCAGTGTTGTCCACGATGACGACGACTCGACGAAATAAAAAATAAAACAATAAAAAAGAAATAGAACTAATTTAAAAAAAAAAACCTGACCACTGCCGTCACGTCCGCTGTGACGAACACCTGCCGCATAATGACATTTTGACAGATGCTGGTAACATTTGTAACAGGGTGAGCCATGATTGGGCAGAGTCATCATGACTTTGCCCAATCATGGCTTTCACCGTTCTCTGTGCCCTGTGGTCAGGTGCAAGCCTTTAGCCAATTAGGGCTTCACAAGGCGCATTGCCTTGTGGAGCGTTCAGCAGTCTAACAGACTGCCGAATGCCCTTATAGTACGTGTGTTCGGCGAATACACGAACTAGCGATATTCGAGTCGAACTCATGTTCGACTCGAACATCGAGCACAACCCTATTATTCATGTCTTTGGGTTCTGCAATGGCCAACATAAAAGAAAATGCAGGCTTAACACGTATTTGGTTAAGGCAGCTCATTTATTTTGAATAGGCTGTCAAAATAAGTGCAGCAAAACCACACCTAGAACATTTCCAGGAGCAATGAGGAGGGTAGTAGACTAGTCACTACTATTGCCTGTGATCTCCCTGCAGGTGATCTTTCCCCCATTATTGACTTACAATGCATTGTTCTACACTTTATCTTTGTGTGGAGGCAGCCATTTTGGTAGAGACAGGGTTTTGCTTCCTCATGTCAGAACTTCCTCAGAACTTTGAGCTGTGAGAACAGTGAGCAGTACAGTAGTGGCATCACCAAATCTCTCTCCAGATCTCCTGACACTGGCATTCAGAGGCAGCAGTGCCTTAGATTTCATCCCACAGATATACAGCTATTAGGTTGTAGGAACAGGAGTGCCCAGGCACCTTCACATTCCAGGAAGAGCACTGCTATTTTGCAGGAGGATTTCAAGACAAAAGTTAAGTTATTCATGGTACTGCTTAGGCACAATTACGATTTCTAAATGTTCCCTATACCATAGCAAATCTTCTCACGTTAAGTTCAGGTCCACTTTACAATTGATCCAAATGCAAATAAATCCCCAATTCCACCCGGTGCTAGGCCCTCAACACTTTTGTTTAACTGTCAAATGCCTCAGCTTCTGTGCAGGTTTAGCCAAATTCAGCATACAATGGGTTCCTGCCTAACAGTGCAAAGCCATGCTGCAGTCAGGAAGAATCCCGACAATATTGTGGGGATCCACCCAGCTGCCTGATTGACAGCTGTTTCTGCCTCTCTATTGGTAGTGTCACCTGAGCCTGCCCCTTCCCCATCTGTCCCTCCAATGAGTACTGGAGGACCAGAGAAGGGAGGGGAAATTCCTGCAGGGAGCAGTGCCTGACAGTCACTGCTCTCTGCAAGGAGGAGACCGCAAGCTGAGTGATCAGCAGTTACATGATAGCTTAGCTTTTGGCATATAAAGTGTGTGACAGCTGCAGTGTATTTTACTCTCCCAGCACTTCTCCTTTAAGGGCCCTTTTCAGGTGCAAAGGAAGACAGCTGAAGACACGCAGAATTGCATGTGCCACATTATCAGTATAGTTTATACACTTTGGTGTACATGACAAGTTGACTTTTTAGTCTTAGAAGGCTATTACAGGCTGGATACTCAGTATTGGGACTTACTGTCATTATAATCCCATGTGTTAAAAAGTAAGAACCCGGGCAAAAACAGATAAATAGTTTGTAGTGGCTTTGCTTACGTGCACAGAGTAGTTATACTCCCACTATGAACAGCATGTAATCTCACCCAGGAACAGCTTATTGCTGCCATCTGAAATATATGCATGTGGTTGGCAGGTACAGAGAGCTAATAAAACAGGCACATATGAGTACAAATGCGCATATCTGGCCATATTGTTAACCTTCTCCTGAAGTGTTTTCATATTTTATATTTGTGGCCCCTTTCCTAACAAGACCAGAATGGTATTTCCCCACAATTCTTTTTATCTTCATTATTATTTATAGCACATAATTAATTTTCTGTATCTTTAGTGTATTTATTTGTTAGGTTTTATATATGCATGTGTTGTTATGTGTTTATATAGTATATCAATGCTATGCAAACATCTTTTCTCCTTTTTAATAATCACTGTCTTTAATGTGAGTTGTTCTCTACCAGCAGGGGTCACAATGATTGCAGAACCTAACAACAAGCAGGGGTACTGGTGTCCTGCACTGATAACTTATGCTGCTCCTTCCATCTTTTCCCATGACTTGTCTCCGCCAGAAGCAGACATGCCATCCTAGGCTTAGGCAGGTACACAAAGTTATGTGGGGCTTGGTTCTCTAATATTTATAGGGCCTGATCACTCTGTGAAATCTAATTAAAATTAGATTTCACTCCATAAAATGAACCTAATTTGATTCTTAAATTTTGGGTGTAGGACAATCAGGGCCAGATTTACTCTCTTTGCTGCCCCAAGGCAAGGTTCCTCAATGCGCCCCCCTACTCACAATTAAACATTTTTTTATTTTCATTTTCATTTAATTTAACTTTATTGTTATCACACAGGAGCTAATAATCCCCTGTGTGATAGCATTTGGAGGTGACAGGTTCTGTTTATTGAACCTGTCACCTCCAATACAGGAGTTTGAGCATATTACTGTGCTGGCTCTCCTGTGACAGCTGAGATTGGAAGGCTGCGAGTGCAGCTCTCCCGTCTCAGTGTTCACAGACCTGCAGGCTGCATACAAGTGATCTCGGCGACATCACCAAGATCACTTATACAAAACCAGCGGTGGCTTTCCGCTGCACAGCTAGCCCTGCTTGCCCAAAGCAGGGCTAATTGTAGAAAAAAAAAAAACCTACCCGCCCAGGGCCCGGAACTGCATGTCCCGGGCGTTAGGAGACAGGAATTCCACACCGCTGCCATTCCTCTACTCCCTGCTGCCCCAAGGCCGGGGGGCCCAGTGGGTCCTTAGATCTCTTGGAATAGCTTACTGCTAAGCCCTGCCTGTCAGCATTCCTAGATTTTACTGCCATTGCTTTCTTCTTTCTCTGTAATGTAAAATGAATAGATACTCCAGCAGTCAGAGTGTAGGCTATACTCATCATGATGCATATGGGTGCAAAGTGTTCACGTACCAAGTGTTCGGGCAATATATGACACAGTGGGTGATAAACGTAACCCAAACCAATGTGAAATATCAGTTTTGGATGGATAGACAATTTAACTATTACATCAATTAGTTTGGATAGGTATAAACTGGGCATCTGAACTGTTACTCCACCAAAACATATACATTTTAACTGTAAACAAAAAAAGGGAAAGGATTCGGGCCGCCTACTACTTGTAGGTTGTCCAAGGGTAACTGACTGTTAGTCTCACCAGATTTGGAGTGAGATTTGGTGATGTCACTACTGGGCTGTTCACTGTATTCCTTACTGGAGAGGAAGCTGTATCTGAGGACCGGCAGTATAAGAATCTCCCTAAATCTGCTTGAATTCATTCTAGGGACCTGTGCTTCCTCCACACCTCCAGCTGCTTTTTGATAATTCTTCCAACATCCATTAGATTTCTATTCATCAGGTTGGCAGTTCTAAGGAAACACAGCGCTATTCCTCTACTAAGATGGCTGCTTACACTTAGGCAGGGCAATCCCTATAATGAGGGGACCTGAGGTGGCCAACAGTAGGGCGGGGTGGCTTGGGGGCCAGTAAAAGCATGATATCAGATGTCAGTGAGCTAGACAGGATGCTGGACAGAGCTGCTGGACTCAACGGTAAGTAGCATGCACTAGCAGACCACCCTCTTCCTGAATGATCATTCACTGACAGCACCACACTCCCCCCAACCCAGGTATGACCATTCACTGACAGCCCCCCCCCCATCCCCGAATGACCGTTACCTTACAACCA